GCTCACCGCCCAGGCTAAGGGGCTGCCACATCAAACAGCACCGAAAATCTGAGCCCACACACAGCGGGGTGAAGGACAGCGTCACCCCTCAGTCCCTGTGCTTCAGCCGTCCTGAGCCCAGTGCGGGTGAGGCCTGCCTGGCATGAGGACTTGGCCTCAGGAAGCCACCGGCCCAGGAAGTGGTTCCTTCCTGCTCCTGCCCTCTTCCCAGCCTGTCTCTGGATCCCCTCTAAAAGCCAAGTGTCTGCTCTAGTTCCCCCTAACCCTCAGTGGAAAAGCACCCACTGCGGTGAAACCGCAGAAGCAATGAGAGAAAATACAAGAACAGTTTACTCTTCATCCAGGCGGGCAGCAGGAAGAGGCTGCAAAAGCTGCTGGGCTGCAGGCCAGGTGGGCAGATCCCAGCCTCCCCTTCCTGTAGCACCACCAGCTCACTGCAGATGATCAGCCACAAAACAGACTACCCCGAATCCAGACAGTCTCCCCCTGTAAAGACACAAATGTTGGAGACAAAAACCTCACCCCACGCCTCCACTGCCAGCTCATGCTGGGCAAGATCAGGGAGGCCTGTCTCCATGGCAGCTGGCCTGGCTGGGGGCTGCAGGAGCTGGATGTTGGGGTGCTGAGCAGAGAGCACAAGGTCTCAGTAACCCCAGGCCCAGGGCTGCAGCTGGGCTGGTATCCTATACCTGTGCTGCAAGAAGGAGCTCATGACACCGGCCTCAAGATCAGGTTGGTTCCTGTGGATGTAGTGATTGCCTGGGACTTCCACAAACTGGAACCGCTGGAGAAGAAGGGGACAGGCGGTGAGATGTGGCCCAGAGAGGGGACTCCAAGGGCACCTCTGCTTGGACTTTCCAGTTGTCTACCTCCTTGTGGTTCAGAAGTGTCACCCACGGTGAGCTCTAGGGCCATGACTGACTGACTCAGAGCTCTCAGGGCCCATCTATTCATAGCACCCCTGGGTGATTCAGCCCTGGCTCCAAGTCGGTGAGAAAGGCCTCATTGGGAGGGGAGTGTCCAAACTCTGGGGTTCTGGGCCATTCTTAGTTGTGAATTTGCAGTGCTAGGCTAAAGAGGACCAAGTGGTCGGGGGTGCGCTGGTTCTACAGGTTTTCCCCCCAAAATGTATACATACTAACAGCTGATGGCTCAATTTTGAAAATGAGATATACTTTAATAAACACTGCCTTTATAGTTAAAAAAAAAAAAGGCAATACAAGAGACAAAGGACGTTTTATAATGATAAAGGGATCAATCCAAACAGGATATAACCCCTGTAAACATTTACATACCCAACATAAGAACACCTAATATATAAAGCAAATAATGACAGATATAAAGGGAGAGATCAACAGTAACACAGTTATCTTAGGTGACTTTAATCCCCATTGACATCATCAATGTACAAATCATCCAGACAGAAGATCAATAAGGAAAAAGAGGCATTAAATGACACATAATATCAGGTGGCTTTAATTGACATTTTCAGAACATTTCACACCAAAGAAGCAGAATATACATTGTACTCAAGTGCACATGGAACATTTTCCAGTATAGACCTCATGTTAGGCCACAAAACAAGTTTCAGTACATTAAAGAAGACTGAAATCATATCAAGCATCTTCTTTGTTCACAAGAAAAAACTGAAAAACACAAATACATGGAGGCTAAATAACATGCTACTAAACAGTGAATGGATTAACAACAAGATCAAGGAAGAAATCAAAAGATACTTTGAGACAAATGAAAATGAAAACACAATGACACCAAATCTATGGGACACAGCCAAAGTAGTACTAAGAAATTTATACTGATATAGGCCTACCTCAAGAAACAAGAAAAATCTCAAATAATCTAAACTTACACTTACAAGAACTAGAAAAAAGAACAAATGAAACCCAAAGTGAGTAGAGGGAAGGAAATAATAAAGATCAAAACAGAAATAAATGAAGTAGAGCCTAAAAAGCAATAGGAAAGATCAATGAAACCAAGAGCTAGTTCATTGAAAAGATAAACAAAATTGATAAACCTTTAACCAGACTCAGTAAGAAAAAAAGAGAGGACCCAAATAAAATCAGAAAAGAAAGAGAAGTGACAACTGACACCACAGAAATACAAAGGATTATAAGAAAATACTACAAACACATTTCAACATATTGGACAACTTGGAAGAAATGGATGAATTTCTAGAAATATACAATCTTCCAAAGTGAAATCAAGAAGAAACAATCTAAACAAACCAATTACTACCAATGAAATTGAATCAGTAATAATAAAAAAAAAAACTCCCGTCAAACAAAAGTCTTGGACCTAATGGCTTCACAGCTGAATTTTACCAAACATTTAAAGAAGAATTAACACCTATCCTTGTCAAGCTGTTTCAAAAAACTCAGGAGGAGGAAGGCTCCCAAGCTCATTTTACAAGGCCAGCATTAATCTGATTCCAAAACCAGACAATGATATTACAAAAATTATAGGCCAATATCCCTAATGAACATAGATGCAAAAATCCACAACATCTTAGCAAACCAAATTTAGCTATTCATTAAAAAAGATCATACACCATAATCAAGTGGGATTCATTCCTGGAATGTAAGGTTGGTTTAGTATCTGCAAAGCAATGAATGTGTTGTCCCACATAAATTAAATGAATAAAAATCATATGATCAAACCAGTAGATGCAGAAAAAGCATTTGCCAAAATCCAGCATCCATTTATGATAAAAACTCAGCAAAGTGGGACAGAATGAATATACCTCACCATTTTTGCAGCCACAGATGACAAACCCACAGCTAACATAGTCAATAGAGAAAGCTAAATGTGTTTCCTTTGAGATTAAGAACAAGACAAGGATGTCTGCTTTCACCAGTTTTATTCAACAGAGCATTGTAAGCCCTACCCATAGCAATAAGACAAGAAAGAAAAAGAAATAAAAGGAAGATTGGAAAAGGAAGAAGTAAAACTGTCATTATTTGCAGATGACATGATACTATATAGAGAGAATCCTAAAAACTCCACCAAAAAACTGTTAGAACTGATAAATGAATTCAGGAAAGTATCAGAATATAAAATCAGTATTCAGAAATCAGTTGCATTTTTATACACCACTAATGGACTATCAGAAAGAGAAATTAAGAAAATAATTCCATTCACGGTTGCATCAAAAAATACATAGAAATTAATTTAACCAAGGTGGTAAAAGACCTATACTCAGAAAATTACAAGACATTGAAGAAAGAAAATAAAGAAGGTACAAATAAATGGAAGCATATACCATACTCATGGGTGGGATGATTAACATCGTTAAAGTGTTCATATTCCCCAAAGCAGTCTATAGATTTAATGCAACCCCTATCAAAATATCAATGACATTTTTCACAGAAGTAGAACAAAGAATCCTAAAGTTTATATGGAACCCCCAAAGATCTGAGCAGCCAAAGCAGTCTTGAGAAAGATAAACAGAGTTAGAGGTATCACACTACCTGATATCAAACTCTACTACGAGGCTGTAGTAGCCAAAAGAGAATGGTACTGGCATAAAAATAGACACAGATCAATGGAACATAGTACAGAGCCCAGAAATAAACCCATGTCTATATGGTTAATTAATTAATTTTTAATATATCTTTATTGATTTCAGAGAGGAAGGAAGAGGGAGAGAGAGAGGTAGAAACATCAATAATGAGAGAGTCATTGATTGGCTGCAGCCTGCAACCTGGGCATGTGCCCTGACTGGGAATCGAACCCTGATCTCCTTCATCCTAGGCCGATGCTCAACTGCTGAGCCACGCCCGGCTGGGCTGGTTAATTAATTTATGACAAAAGAAGCAAGACTGTTCAATGGGGTAAAGAGAATCTCTTCAATAATTGTTGTTGGGCCCAGTCAGCGTGGCTCAGTGGTTTAGCATCAACCCATGAACCAGGCGATCAGTTTGATTCCCAGTCAGGGCACATGCCTGGGTTTCGGGCTCGATCCCCAGTAGGGGATGTGCAGGAGGCAGCTGATCAATGATTCTCTCTCATCATTGGTGCTTCTATCTCTCTCTCCCTCTTCCTTCCTCTCTCTGAAATCAATAAAAACATTTTAAAAAATGGTTACACCTGAGGTCATTAGGCATAAACCTCAGACCCATTGAAAAATAATAATTGTTGGAAAAACTGGGCAGATACATGCAAAAAATTGAACTAGATCACTTTTTTATACCATATACAGAAATAAACTCAAAATGGGTTAAAGACTTAAATGTAAGGCCTGAATCCATAAAGCTGCTGGAAGAAGACAGGCAGTAAATACTTTGACATTGCTCTGAGTAATAATTTTTTTGGATATGTTTCCATGTGCAAGGGAAACAAAATTAAAAATAAACAAATGGGTCCTAGCCAGTCTGGCTCAGTGGATAGAGCATCGGCCGATGGACTAAAGGGTCTCGGGTTTGATTCTTGCCAAGGGCATGTACCTCAGTCGCAGGCTTGATCCCTGACCCTGGTTGGGGCAAGTGCGGGAGGCAACCAATCAATGTGTCTCGTATGTCTCTCTTTCTCCTTTCCATCCTCTTTGAAAAGCAATGGAAAAAATATCCTGAGATGATGATTAAAAAAAGAATAACATATTGTAATAACTATGGTGCCAGGTGGATACTAGACTTATGGGGGGTGGATCACTTTTTAAGATACATAAATGTCTAATCACTATGTGGTACACCTGAAACTAATAAAACATTGAATGTCAACTATAGTTGAAAAATTTTAAAAAGTAAAAGAAGTATAAAGCCAAAAGAAGAAAAAATTGTGTTCCCTAGTGAGACGCCCTTGAAAAACTGAGGGTGGTTAAGGCCTGGTGAAGGGAGTGAGTTCATTTTGGGATGTGCCAGGAAGTTCTGGGTTAACATAAATGAAATCCCTATTAGGTTCTTTTAGGAGTTCACTCATCATCACCATATTCTGCTTGTGGTGTAGATGGAACAAGAGATCTAAGATGCTTTCTTTTGCCCTCTCAGCGCATCTATTACCTTTCCCTGGAGTTCTACATGGGCCGTACACTGCAGAACACGATGGTGAACCTGGGCCTTCAGAATGCTTGTGATGAAGCCATCTATCAGGTACGGGTCCTTGGGGCCAGGCTGCCAGGTAGTCTCTCCTGTTGCACCGAGGTTTTAATTCAGGCCCCACAGAGGTGAGCACTGACAGAGGTGAGCATGGGTGTTAGGATTTGCAGCCACCAGGGGCCTGGGAAACGTCTAACGGTGTACTCTATCCTCTGTGAGGGCGAATGGGTTGGTGGGTGACGCTCCTCTTTCTCCAGGGGAGAAAGTAAGAACTAGATGGAAAGCTATTAATACACTGGAGTGTAAGGACTCTGTTGCATTTAACGCTAAGGTTTAGAGGCTTCTAGAAACCACTGTACTCCTCACTCCCACCCTGGGGGCAGATTTATCGTGTGGCAGAAGTATTGTCCCACTTCTCCTTGCTTGATTGAACTGGTAACCTACCTCCAGTGTCCCGCCTCCACCCTAAGATAACCTCTTGTGCTCATCCTATCCAGTAATAAAACTGCCCTTTGTCCCCTAAACAGAATAGAAACTGCCTTTGCTTAGGGAGTCTTCATTAACAGTTGTTTAGTTGGAGGTCTTTCACATTTCCTTTGCAGTTTTAGAGCAGAGCTGGAATTGGTCCTGTTTTCTGTCTCTGTCCCACTTCCCTGTACATCATCTTTCTCCCTCACCCAGATGCTCAGTGTAGAATTTATGGAGTGTGAAGATGTATCACTTCTGCCCTTTTGCACATACACAGAAGGGTCCTTACCAGAGTTGTACCTTCCACTGCTTCTGCTAAGGTTCGGTTTTGGTTTTGAGGTGGGAGGTGCTCTGGGGGCCTTCTTGGAGGAGGTGTGGTGTGAGCCTTGCAGGGCCATCAGGCAGCCCAGCATTGTGGGGAATCATGCCTCCCCCGCCAAGACTTAGTGAAGAGGGTAGTCTGGGGCAAATAGTTTAAGTTTACAAGTTGACTCCCCAAAATGGGAATCTTGTGCTCAAAATTATCTTAAAAGATAGAGGCTATGTTCATTTGTCATTTCATCTCTGATTATATGTTAGAACATGTTTACAAGTACTGTAGAACATACAGTCTGTAAGATCTTCTCTAGATTTTGCAATTGTATAAAGCATTTTGTTTTTTTCAAAGGATTTTCAGTTTATACAATTCTTACATATACTAAAGATTTTAGGGAATGTTTGTACCATAATTATACAATATTTGTTTATAATTTTTATTACAGAAAAAAATGTGTTAACTATAGAAACTTAGAAAATACAGGGAAGCATATATTCTTTTAAATATTGTACATTATTTTCTGAAAAGTGGTATTTTCCTTGCTGTCTAGCTTGTGTCTGAAAAGCTTTCATGTTGATCAAACCCTTAGTGTCTCATTTGCTGGGCCTTTCTAGTCCTAAGTTGGGTACTGGATGCTTTGAATAGGAACAAAAAGATGATGCCGAGCTGAGACAGGCCTTCTCCCCAGGCTCCCCATGTGCAATGTAATGTCAGAAAGAAAACGACACAATGTATCATACAGGGCTAGAAAGCAGCTCCCAGGAGCAGTTTACGCTAAAAACTAGAACTTCAAAAGAAGCTGTTCTCTCTGGACTGAACCATCAAGGACACATTTAAAAATGTCTTCATTATAGAAAATTTTAAATGTATATAAAAATGAGTGATCGTTATAGTGAACTTTCACATACCCATCAGCTGGCTTCACCTGAGTCATCAAGCCCAACTCATGGCCACGCTTGTTTCATTTAAACCCAACCACGCCCAGACTGTGTAAGCCAACATCAGGGAGTATAATATTTCACTTGTAAATATTTCAACAGGTATCTCTAACAGATAGGGTCACACCATTATGACCCCTGGAATACTGACAATAATACTTTAAAAAAAAAAAAAAATGTTTTTATTGATTTCAGAGAGAGGAAAGGAGAGGGAGAGGGAGAGAGAAACATCAATGATGAGAGTCCTTGATCAGCTGCCTCCTGCACGCCCCCTGCTGGGGATCGAGCCTGTAACCCGGGCATGTGCCCTGACTGGGAATCGGACCGCAATTTCCTGGTCGATGCTTAACCACGGAGCCATGCGGGCCGGGCCTGACAATTAACCCTTTAACATCAGCTTTTTAGGCAGTGTGCCAATTTCTGATTGCCTTATAATTTTTAAGTAACATGTTTAGAAAGTAAGTTGGGCCCTAGCCAGTTTGGCTCAGTGGTCAGAGCGTCGGCCCGCAGACTGAATTGTCTCAGCTTCGATTCTGGTCAAGGGCATGTACCTTGGTTGCAGGCTCGATACCCACCCCAGTTGGGGTGCATGGGGGAGGCAACCAATCGATGTGTCTCTCTCACATCGATGTTTCTCTCTCTCTCCCCCCCCCACCACCACTCCCCCTTCCATTCTCTGAAAAGCAATGGAAAGAATATTCTCAGGTGAGGGTTAAAAAAAAGAAAGAAAATAGAAATGAAGTTGCATTTGCTCGATATATATCCTAATCTCTCTTAATCTATATGCTTCTTTTTTTAAAAATTTTTATGCATTGTTGTTTATTTGTTGAAACTGGGTTTGTCTTATAGAGTGTCCTCTTGTCTGCATTTGACTGATTGTGTCCCCAGCTGGAGTTAACCTTCTTTGTTTCGAGGATGCCACTCTCACCACTCCTACTCAATATTGTCTGATGGTGCTAGTCTAGGTATTTAGGCAAGAATATGAAGTAAGAAGCATCCAGATTGGAATGGAAGAAGGAAACTATGGAGATGACATGATCTAGAAAATCCTAAAGAGTCCAATAAAGTACGTTAGAACAAATGAATGAATTCAGCAAGTTTGCAGGATAGATGATCAATCTACAGAAATCAACTATTTTTATATACCTGCAACGAACAATCCAAAAATGAAATTAAGAAAACAACTCTATTTAAATTAATATCCAAAAGAATAAAATACTTAGGAATAAATTCCAAAAGAGGTGCAAACTTATATTCTGAAAACTATAAAACAGTGTTGAAAGAAATTAAAGAAGACCTAAAAATAGAAAGGCACACTATATTAATGGCTTAGAAGACTTAGTGTTGTTAAGATGGCAATACTTCCAAACTGATGGACAGATTCAGTGCAATCCCCACTACGATTCCAGTTGGCTTCTTTGCAGAGATCGACAACCTGATCCTAAAATCCAAATGGATTTTAACATTGGATTTTCAAGTCTAGAAGAAAGCAGACTCTAACCTTTGATATAAACTCAAAAGATTTAAATATCTTTCCGCCTGGTGCTTGAGTGAAAATATTAAGTCATATTAAAATATTATCTCTGTTTCTATTCACAGTTGGGGTTAGACTTGGAAGAACTGGAGGAAATAGAAGAAGATGCTGGCCTGGGGAATGGAGGCTTGGGGAGGCTGGCAGGTAACTAACCCCAGGCGCCTGCCTAGGACGAGTTTTTCCTAACACGGTGCGTTCCCAAGTGATCACATGGTGAGGCCAGGGTCAGCCGTGCTCCTGACACTTCTGACAGTGAGGGTAAATTGGTCCCTCTCTGTGTGTTCCAGGTCATAAACCTTTGCCTCTGGCAGGGGGAAAAAAATGCAAGATGTATGTCTCTTTTACCCAAGGGGCACTTTTCATAAAGATCATGAAGACCAGGCTTACCAGTGTTGGGGGACTGGTGCTGGGAGAGGAGAAGATTCCAATATACTAATCACTCTCCATGATCCAAAAGCCAGTAACTGGGAGAAAGATTAATAGAAACACACACACAGCTTTCAGAGCTGTTCCTTTGGGGGCATGTTACTCCGTTGGTAAACTATTTGAGAGCACACTCCGTTTGTGGGGGTTTTCTGTTTTAATTCTCTTAGCCAGTGTTTCTGGGGAGAGGGAGCAGGGTTAAGAACATGGAAGTGGAAAGAGCAGTCGCGGTGAGGTCTGATTTTACTGTGCGCCTCGGAGCGCTTTGGCACGGTGTCCCCAGGGCAAGGATGAGTTAGGTCTTGTGCTGCTCTTGTGTTGGGGGGGCGAGGGGAGGGTGGGCTCAGGCCCCTGCCACTGGTGTCATGAACCCTTTTGGGAGTTGTCATTTTGTAAAGAGAACAAATGCCCTAAAATTTGTGGGGGCGGGTGTGTGTGTGTGTTTGTATTTTTAAATTTTAAAGTAAATTCTCCACAAATTATAAATGCAACATGTTTATCTCAAACAAAACAGCACATGGATCTATATAAAGAAACAATTGGCACCCTGACCGGGTGGCTCAGTTGGTTAGTGTCGTCCTGTACACCGGAGGCTTGTGGGTTTGAATTCTGAATGGGGCACATAGCTAGGCTGCAGGCTCGATATCCGGTCCGGGTGGGGTGCATACAGGAGTCAACTGATCAATGTTTCTCTCTCTCTCCCTTCCTCTTCTAAAAATCAATAAAAAGCTTGTCCTTGGGTGAGGATTTAAAAAAAAAAAGAAAGAATTGGCAAGGCCTGCGTACCTCCACCCCTTGGTGTGAAAAGCCCGTGTGTGTCCTGTGCATCCTGCTCTGCAGGGCAGAGCTCTGTTTTAGTGTATGAAGGTGAGACCACACCAGACAGCACGCCAGCCTTTCTTCCCCTGCAGCCCCGCTGGGAGCCCCAGTGTCCTCAAGCCCGAGAGTTTCAGTCCGCCTCAGTCCCCTTCACCCTGAAGGCATTCTGTTAATCATAGTAAAAACAGGACCTATTTCCCCAGCTCAAGGGAAGCTCCAGGCCACTTGGTGTCCTTTACTGGAGTGGCTGCCAGACCTCTCCTCCTACCCCAAGCTTGGGGACGGTAAGCCAGGGGTTCCCATCCCCTGCCCTTCACAATCCACTTACATTCTGGGCATTTTCCGACTTTGCCAGTCAGATTCATGTTGACTACCTGTCCTGCCCCTTCTGTGGTGCCACTGGCCTTCCCTGAGGGCTGGTGTGACGGACGGCACCTCCTGCTTCACAGACTCCTGTCACCTGTGCAGACTTGGGCAGCCCCAGCCGCTGTCCCTCCTGTGGGAATGATTTCCTCAAAACAAGAGCCCAGATCTTACATTTTGGGCGTTTTCCTTATTCTTGTCCCTCGGTAAAGGGCCTGACATCCAGGGATCTGTGCATGTTTGGTGAATTAGGCATATTTTTTATTTGCTTGGTGTTTTGTGTGTGTGTTTTCCTTTCCTTTTTTTCTTTTTTTTTTTTGATCCAGGAGGTTAGTAAGGCTACCTTCTGGATCTTTACTTAAAACACTGCTTGCTTTTCCCCAAGACATTTTGATCAGAATAAGGGGTCAGTTTGGTGACATGCTGCTCCAGCCACTTCCCCGGCACCCTGGGCGCACTTTGGCGCTTGGGTATTTGGCACTGTGGACAGTGAAATGTACATTCCCAGCCCCCGTTTCTGTGCCTTCCCCACTAGTGTGTAGATGGTCCCCTGCTCCCCGGACAGCTTGGATTTGAGGTTGACTTGCAGGGGATGGGGAGGCTGTCAGTTCAAGTGACACTCTCTAGGAGAAATTGGCAGTGGGGCTGATGCACTTGAAGATGTGCCGAGTGTGGCTGTGTTCTCCTTTCCCCATCTTCCCACACCCCCCATATCGTCCCCACATTGATATCTTCTTGGCATGGCCCTGGACAATCAAGTCGAAGGGAGTGAGGGGTATTTTGGTTTTCTTTTTCATGATACCTGAAGCTGACTGTGGTCACCACTGAATCACCAACACCCTGGAGGCTGGCAGCCCAGCACCTGCTTCTTAGGTGTCTGGGCGTTGCCTCCGGTGGGCCTTGAACATATTGTCTTTGATCAGAAGAACTTCTTTGTGTTTGAAATTTTCAGCCTGCTTCCTTGACTCGATGGCCACCTTGGGCCTGGCCGCCTATGGCTATGGAATCCGCTATGAGTTTGGGATTTTTAACCAGAAGATTGTCAATGGCTGGCAGGTGGGTGAGACTTGGTTCCTTCACTAATTTCCAGCTCTCATTCACACAAGAATATAAATAGGTGCACTTTCAGTTCAGCTTTTAATATTTTAAACTCCTTCATGGAGAGACTACATGCCAGTCCTAGGCAAGCAGAGGTCGAGCAGGTCAGGACAATCTTACGAGCTCCATGCTTTCTTCATAGTTCCACATGGGCTGGCAGAAGTTGGTCTACTGTGTGAGCTCATTGCAAGTCTGATGGGGTGGGGCCCAGAGCCTGCGGGACCTTATAGGCGACACCAGGGGCAGAGAGTGGGTGGAGGTGGAGAGAATACCATAGGCTTTGTGCTGGTTTCCTGTGGTATCTCAGAGCAGAGTAAAAGTGGCCCCCTCTGTGGTTCACCCTCAGAGGGACAATTGTCCTGGAGTAGTTAAAAAACAGTAGTAGTTGGTTTTGTTCCCACCTTCAGCCTTATCTCTCTGACACCAGTGAGAGGACAGCATCATGTGGGGTTAGAGGCCAGACCCTGCAAAGGAAAGCGGTCCTTAGTTAGGATTGAAAGTTTTATATTCTCAACGAAATAGTTGATGACTGGGGTGATAGAAATGCCCTGTATCTTGATGGGGTTTGAGTCACACAGGTATGCACTTGTCAGAATTCATCAATGGTATCCACAGGATTTATGCACTTCACAGTATACATATTATCCTAAAAAATAAACACATGATGAACTGTACTTGATGGCGAGCATGCTGAAATGGTCAGGGGAGGAGTGTGTAAATGTGTGCAACTTGCTTCGAAATGCATCCAAAAATTAATGGATCAATGGATGGATTTGCAATAAATCAAGTATAATATTAACAGTTTTAGAACCTGGGTGGTGGGTGTTCACTGCCAATTCTTTTAGCATTTCTGTAAGTTTGAAAATGCTCGTAATAAAATGTTGGCAAAGAAAATTATGGATAAAAATAAAACTTAAAACACATTTGTGGCCATTGTTTAATTTCTAGAAATACTCCCTCCAACCTTGAAAGAAATGCAGCTTTCCTCCTGGTGCCTTGCAGATAATTTCACTCACAGTTCGTCACGTGTGTGCTTGTCAGATGTACTCCAACCTGTGTACATGTGTTTCGTTCTGTTTTTAAGAAATGATCAAAGATGTCTAGTTTTAACTTTTGAGTTTTTTGTTTTGTTTTATTAAAGCATAGTTAGCATACAATATTAGTTTCAAGTGTACAACATAGTGATTCAACATCGATATACCTTACAATCTGATCACCATGGCAAGTCTAGTAACCATCTTACTATGCAAAGTTATTACAATATTATTGACTATGTTCTGTGTGCCATCTGTTACATCCCCATGACATATTTATATTATAACTGGAGATTATAAAATGACCTTTGTTTCTCTTCACCTTTTTCACCCATCCTCTCACTCTCCCCTCTGGCAACCATCAATTTGTTCTCTGTTTCTATGAGTTTCTATTTTATTTTGTGTTTTAGATTCCACATATAAGGGAAATCATGTATTTGTCTTTCTCTGTCGGACTTGTTCACTTAACATAATACCCTCTGGGTCGATCCATGTTGTTACAAATGGCAAGATCTCATTCTGTATTATAACTGAGGAATATTTCACGTTTATATCACATACTCTTTATCCATTTATCTATTTTTGGGTACCTATATTACTTCCATATCTTGGCATTGAACATAGGGATGTATATCTTTTTGAATTAGTGTTTTTAGTTTCTTTGGATGCTTAGAAGTGGAATTGCTGGGTTATATGTTAGCTCTCTTTTTAATTTTTTGAGGAACCTCTGTATTGTTTTCCACAGTGGCTACACTAGTTTACACATGTGTTCTTTGACCCAGCCTTTCACAGTTGAGGTCATGTGTATATTTATAAGACAGAACCTCTCACCTACTTGGTGTTATGGTTGTAAGCAGGAATGGTTTTTAGTGGTGGTTTTACGACCACAGACATTTCTTTCCTCTGGTTTCTAGTTCCTATACCTCTTGCCATCTTGCATAGCAGCTTAAAGATAGTCCCAGGATGATAGGTGAGTGGTAAAGGTCTCCTCTCACCTTGTTTTCATGGGAGCCAATTAGTTAGAATGGTTTTTAGTTGAGTTTAGCTGCAGCAGAATTAAACGTGAGCAGTGGTCACACAGCAGCATGGTGGCCAACAGGGGCCACAGGACAGCCTGCCTGTCAGGTAGGAGGACCCCAGAGGGGAGACTCCAATGCCTGTTGTATTTAGGAAGGTGCTGCTTCTGCAGACGACTGCTCTGTGGGAGATGGCCGGGCTCTGGAGCTGGAGAATCTCACTAATGGCAAGAACATTCTGCCAGGAGGTCAAAAGGGGGGGCTGGTCCTCTGATGAATACCTGCCGCACAGACAGAAGCATCTCGCCAGGAGTGCTGTGGAGAGGTGCATATTGAAGCAGTGACGTCATCCATGTCACCTTCCTACAATCACAACCCAAGTGCGCTCTCCGTGAATTTTTACTTTTGTGTAAGGACCATTAGAAAAAACCCCTCACCCTGCCGGCATGGCTTAGCGGATGAGCATCAACCTAGGATCCAGGAGATCGTGGTTTGATTCCCTGTCAGGGCACATGCCCAGGTTGCGGGCTCGATCCCCAGTAGGAGGCGTGCAGGAGGCAGCCAATCAGTGACTCTCTCTCATCGATGTTGCTCTTCCTCTCCCTTCCTCTCTCTGAAATCAACAAAAATATATTTAAAAAAGAAAAAAACCTCAAAGTAACATACATAGATAGGGTTGTTTGTTCAATTTGAAGGAAAATAACTTGATTTTATTTAAATTTTAGTTAATTTGGGGGCGGTAAACACACAATACAATATACAGATGATGCATTGTAAAATTGTATACTTAAACCTATATAATTTTATTAACCAAGGTCACCCCAATGAAGTCAATGATAAATAAATAAACCTATTATCAAAAATTGATTTAAAAAATAGATTTTAGTTAATTTATATTTATGATTCTTCATTTATTGCCCTACCAAATGAACTTATCCCGTTGCTTGCAAGCAGAATAAATTCCACAGGGTGGTGGGCAAAGCAGCCCAACCAAACTGTCAAACGTTGGAGTCTGTGAGACTGCTTTTAATTTCATTTGTGGGAGTGGTTTTGCATATTTACTGATTTTGGATGCCACTGGGTGTGGTTTCTGGAAAACAAGCAGAAAGGAAAGTGTCTTCCAGTGAAGTGTCCAGCCTGCCCACTGCAAGTGCTCCCCAGGAGGCAGGTTGGCCCCTGGCACCCATGGGTTTGTGATGTCATTTTCAAAGCAGTAGGCTTTCCGTGATCCTTTTTTTATTTTTAAATAAAAGCTATTGAGATACCAAGTTTTTAATATATTCACAAAGTGGGGCAACGATCACCACTATATTTCCAGAACATTTTTGTCAACCCAAAAAGAAACCCAGCACCCATCTGCAGTCACGCCCAGTGCCTGGTGACAATTCATCCGTGTCCTGTCTCTGGATTTGCTGTTCTAGGCATGTCACGTACATGGGGTCACACAATATGTGGGCTTCTTTGACTCTGCAAGGTTTATTCATGCTGTAGCATCATCAGGACCTCTTTTTATTGCTGAATTCAGGTAGTTCTTAATGTCTTTTCACTTTGATGCATTTTTCTGAATTTTTTTTTAAAAAAAATATCTTTATTGATTTCAGAGGGAGGAAAGGAGAGGGAGAGAGAGAGAAACGTCAATGATGAGAGAGTCATGGATCGGCTGCCTAGCCCGCAACCCGGGCATGTGCCCTGACTGGGAATCAAACCCCAATCGCCTGGATCCTAGGTCAGTGTTAAACCATGAGCCACACCTGGCTGGGCTTTCTGAATCTTGTTTGTTTTCTTAATAGTCCAGAGTGTTAATTTTAAGTATGTGGCCTTGACTAAAATTGGAAACCTTTGCATTGTAAATAGGCTGTAGTTTTGTTTCAGTGCTGGACCAGAGTCATTTTGACAGCTTGGTTAGTGCTGACCAAGGACAGGGTCAGCCTAGTGCCAAGGACTCTCTGTCTGTGAACTGAATTTGCTGCTGGCTGTTTTGCAGGTAGAGGAAGCCGATGACTGGCTGCGCTATGGCAACCCCTGGGAGAAGGCCCGGCCGGAGTACATGCTTCCTGTGCACTTCTACGGGAGAGTGGAGCACACCCCCGAGGGGGTGAAGTGGCTGGACACTCAGGTACCCACCTCCGCGTTTCCCAGGAAGCGTGACCACTTGGGTTTCCTTGTTGAGTTGACTTTCTTTTGGAAGTAGGAGGTGTGCACCTGTATGAGCCACCGTAAGCTTCCCTAGAAGACCTAACTCAAGGTAGAAGCCTGGGAGGTGTTCTTCTTACACATTCGATTTTTTACATTTTGTCAGAAAACTATCCAGACAATGGAAAATGCTGAACATGAAGCCACACTCTGTAGTGGCTATGTGTTGGGGTGGAGACCAGCAGTTGGTTAATGGCAAACAGGACAGCGTTGTGACAGGGACAAGGGCATTGATCCCCTGGGAGATGTAAACAGCTCCCCAGCAGGTACTCCGTATGCTCTCTTGCCACGTGCTCCTGGTCCTTGGTGGCCCATGGCTCTCAGCAGTACCCCAGGTGTAGCTCACCACTGACTCTGATCCCTCAGAGCCCCAGATGTGTAGAGAGACCTGGGTGGATGTCCTGGAACAGGGCCCAGGCCATCTTTCCTAGCTGGTACCTGATGGCCGGACCAGAGCAAGAGCATGGAGTGCTGGCAGAGTGTGGTGACAGCCACAGCAGGGTGTATTTGCGGCGAGTCCAGTCTGGGCTCAGAGATGGCAGAGAGCACACATCTTGGTGGTTTGATGGGGTGGAGGGGGTGGAGGAGAGACCACGTGAGACAGAGGTAGTTGCTATGAGTAAGTCACAGTCGTCTAGTAACGTGGAGAGGATGAGAAAACCAGGGTGAGCCGGAGACGGGTAGTCGCAGGCATGTAAAAGGGAGCCATCCAGACTTCCTACAACATGAGTGTTAAATAGAGCACATGAGGCTAGAGCCGGCTGGGGGCCTAAAGAGCCATAACAATCAGTATTTAGTTTGGAAAAGCAGAGAAGGGGATTTGGTTTTCCTAAATGTGTGTGCTGGTAGAAGATGGACATGTCAGTGTATGTAAGGAGGCCCAGAGCCTGCTGGGGCATCGGAGGCTGCATGTGATGAGGGCCTTACCCCAGAGGGCTGGCCGTGGAGAGGGAAGGAGGGAGTTGGAGAGGCTTTGCAGCGCTTGTCACTTGCTTGAACAAGGCCATGGAAATAGGGGAGCGGCGGGCAGGGTGAAGGTTGAGAGGAGATCGGGAGGGAAAGATGACACTGAGGCACCCTTACATAGTCCTTTGTGGCTGCCGGAGCTGATTTCATCTTGTGGAGCCACAGTTGCACTTGTATGAGCTACCAAAAGCATGCCTGAGAAGCCCCATTGGAGGGTCCGAGAGCTGGAAGAGACCTCGATGCTTTTACACTTCTTCCGGTGCCTCCCAGGAGCAAAGCTGTCAGATGGGAACCTGGGGTGCAGGAGCCTCTGTGGGTGGAGAGCAGGCCGTGCATTTCCTTTTGGGAGCCGAGTGCGTGGCCGGTTTGGTTTCGTTGAGAGCTAGATATCAAGGCCTGCAACAGGAGGACCCTCACCGCAGATGTGGGAATGGAGGTCAGAAATGGAAGTAGCGTTTAGGGGGAAGTTAGTTGAGTGAGAAGAGGGAAGGCGTGGAGGGCAGCAGATGATGCCGGAGGAGTGGCTGCTGAGGGAGCGTGAGCCAAGTTCGCGCAGTGGCCCCTCCAGGAGCTGCAGCGGGAAGAAGTCTTAAGGTGGTGTCAGCGCTGAAGCAGGCCAGGCTACAAAGAGTGTGACCTCGGGAGTGTACTCAGGGTCTAGCCTGTGGGCCTAACTTAGGACGTCTGCGAGCTGGGGCTGCAGGTACAGGTGTGCAGCAGGGCGGGGAGGGTGTTGGGACTGTGGCCTGGCATAGGGCAGGTTGGGTGTGTTTTGGGCAGAAGGAGGAAAGCCAGGGGAGGGTGAGCGGGCGGCCCTCACCATGGGTGCAGATGCTGCTTCCTGCTGGGCCGGTGCTGCTCTGCGGGGAGGCCCGGGACTGGGGACTGTCTGCTGACTCAGCCCTGACCCTGACCATCCCTCCCTCCGCCAGGTGGTGCTTGCCATGCCGTACGACACCCCAGTGCCAGGCTACAAGAACAACACTGTCAACACCATGAGGCTGTGGTCCGCCAAAGCGCCCAACGACTTCAATCTCCAAGACTGTGCGTTGTGCCCTTTAACCTTCATTGGGCGACTTATCCAAAACTCACGCAGCTCCTGTCCCCCCTCTGCACTCTCCCTGCTGCAGGCAGAGGGCAGCTTCCTTGTGAGCAGAGGACTTCCAGGGAGGGCCCACAGGCAGAGTCACCCCTCCAGGCCCAGGCCCTCAAGAAAGAGAAAGGGGTCTGGGACCCTGCAGGGCTCATGGGGGATAAGGCACCCAGCACCTTTTTGAGGGGTCGGGCGTGAGGCAGGCAAAGCAACACTTCTGTTCAGAAATGCTTACCCTCAGGCTGTTCAGGGAAGCAAGTGCGGCATCTGGGTGTGAGGGTGCACAGGAGAGGAATGTGGGTCCTGACCTCACCATCTCCTCTCTACTCTTAGTTAACACGGGCGGCTACATCGAGGCGGTCCTGGACCGGAATCTGGCCGAGAACATCTCCAGAGTCCTGTACCCCAACGACAACGTGAGTAGCGTCATAGTTTCTGTCTGTGCCGCACCTCGCCAAGTATAGGCTGGGGCTCTCTGCAAGGACCTGTTTGCTGGTGAGACCAGGCGGTTTCTGCTCTTCTGATGCCACTTTCCCAAGAAGTAGATGAGCCATTTGTCACGTGGGGACAGTAGTCCCTGTTTTGCAGTGACACCTTGAGATACAAGACAATCATGGTTTGAAAGGTTCTTGGTCTTTAGTATGCCATCTCATCCTAAATATGAAGGTTACAACCACATTCTCTCTTGCCGTTGAATTTAGTGTCTGGTGGCATTTTTGTTGTTGCTGCCAGAAGAGCGCCCTTGAAATGTGCCTGTCTTAGTGGATCATGTTTCTTTTTTTATTTTATCAAAGAAATATGTGCACATAGTAGCAAAGACCATTGGTGCTGACAGGCTCACGGTAAATGCCTCCTTCCCCCTTCTCCCCCCAGCCCCCGTGCCCGACATTTTGAGCAGATTCTAAAACTTCAGGCACACGGCATTTTTAGAATGGACTTTGAAGGTTGCATTTCTGGGTGGCTCTGGTGTTCCTGGCCCTCAGCCTGTGACAGCTAAGGGACTAGACCCTCTTGCCTGGTGTCCTCATGCAGGATGGTAGGACCCTTTGCCAGCTGCCCTTGTGCTTCCTCCCGTCTGCAGGTCACACACAGGTTAGGCCACTTATGTGCGACCTTCCGCCTGTGCCCTCGAGCTTCAGGTCACCTGACATCTGGGCCCCAGGATTGGGGGGGTCGGGGCATCAGCAACATGCTGGCACTCAAGGGCTCTCCCTCTTTCATCCACACACTCATCTCTATGGTCCCGGGGGCAGGACACCCCCAACCCTCAGCCTAGTAGCCTTTCCTGGTCCTAGGGGGCCCTCTGAGTGCCTGTAGCAGCCTCCGTGTCCGAGTTGGTGCCGGAGCTGTTATGTTTCTGCAGTTCTTTGAGGGGAAGGAGCTCCGCCTGAAGCAGGAGTACTTCGTGGTGGCTGCCACCCTGCAGGACATTGTCCGCCGCTTCAAGTCCTCCAAGTTCGGCTGCCGGGACCCAGTGAGAACCTGTTTTGAGACACTCCCAGACAAGGTTGGTTTGTTGACTTGGGATTGAGCTCAGTGGGGAAGGACAGGATGCTCGCAGGCTTGGTTTCTTCCTCACGGCTGGGGCACGGGTGGGAGAGCAGTATCCCCTCATCTTGGTCTCCTCGTCATTGTGGGGGGCAGTCCCCCTTCCCCAGCCAGGGCCACAGTGCGCCTTGCCAGGAGTCAAGGCTCCAGAGACACTGTAAAAGGCTCCCTTGGGCAAAGCCAGACGAGTTTGGCAGTTTCAGGTCAATGATTTTAAGTAAGTCCAACATCTCCTCGTTGAGAGGGCCTTGGGCTGTAGGGTTGCGGGTCCTGCAGCTCCCGGACACCTACGGCAGAGCAAACATGCTGCAGAGCCAGCCCCTGGAGTCCTCCCGGTCCTCCTCTGTGGCCCTCGGGCCCTGCTCCTTGGCCTGTTTTCAGGGTGGCCTGGCACCCGTGCCGTCCTGTCTGCTCCCTGCTGTCAGCCCTATAGACTCCTCAGGGGTGGGTGGCTGAGGACCTGAGGCCTGCACATACCAGCCACGTAGGCCCACCCCATGGGCGCAGGCGACTGAAGGCATCACCCTGTGTAAACCTCAGGTTGCCATTCAGCTGAACGACACCCACCCAGCCCTCGCCATTCCTGAGCTCATGCGGATCCTGGTGGATGTGGAGAGAGTGGACTGGGACAAGGTGAGCGTGAGGACGGGCGTGGGGGGTGATGGTGTCCCCCACAGAGCTGGGCACGTGGGGATGACAGTATTCCCTGCAGACGTGGGCACATGGGGTGACATTCCCCACAGAGCTGGGGACGTGGGGAAACAGTATCCCCTGTAGGACAGGGCACATGGGGTGACAGTGTTCCCTGCAGAGCTGGGTATGTAGGGCGATGGTGTCCCCCTGCAGATCTGGACATGTGGCTCAGTGTTCCCCACAGAGCTGGGCACATGGGGTGATGGTATCCCCTATAGAGGTGGGCATGGGGTGATGCTATCCCCCTGACCTTGGAGTCTGTCCCAGCAATGGTTGTGAGTACTGAGCTAGTCCTACAGCTCTGAGGGAGGCCTTTCCCCTGTGGCCTTGGCAGAATGGAGGATCATTGTCCCCAAGAAGACGGGGACTGAGGGGAGAACAAAGTTCGAGGAGCAGGTCTGGTGTTTCTGCCAAGAGACCAGGACACAGTGAGTGGGATCAGGGGTGCAAGGACACAGACAATTTTTTTTGGAAGCCAAGAAAAGGATTCTGACACTTCTTAGGGCTTCTAATATATATTTTCTCATCTTAGAAATCATGGCAAAAGTCCCAGGAAGTATTACGTTTAAAGAAATACATTGTTTACATCTTTATATGTTTGTTTTCGTGACTTATTTTGGTCCTAGATTCTTTAGTATAGTGGTGTATTTTTGACCTAGTCTAATTAAATCAGCATGTGAAACCATAAAACAAAAGGTACCCAGAGCCCCTCTGTTGTCTTGGGGTGCACCTGATGGGACGAGGCGGCCCGTCTTGGGTCCTGTCCACGCCTGGCCAATAGAGGGCAGGACCATACAGTTATGAGTGTTCTCCAGACTGTGGGTGTGAAGTCAGTTTAGTGGAAATAAAATAGAAAACTGCTCAGTGCTCTGTTTTGTTTACCAGTAAGATGTAGTTTACAGAGAACCCTTGTGCACTGTTGGTGAGAATGCAGATTGGTGCAGCAGCTTCCTCAAAAAATATAAAAATGCAACTGCGTTATATGACCCAGCAATTACACTTCTGGGTATATATCCAAAGAAACCAAAACACCAACTTGAAAGGACATATATACACCCCTATGTTCGTTGCAACGTTATTTATAAATAGCCATTGTGGAAGCAACCCGAGTGCCCATCTATAGACAGGTGGTTAAGGAAGTGGTACAGCCCTGGCCGGTGTGGCTCAGTTAGTTAAAGTGTCATCCTGAGCACCTAAGGGTTGTGGGCTCAATTCCCAGTCAGGGCACATACCCAGGTCGCTGGTTCAATCCCTCGGGGGGTGTGTGGGAGGCAGCCGTTTGATGTTTCTCTCTCTCTTTCTCACTCCCTCTCCCTTCCTGTCTCTCTAAAATCATTAAAAACACATCCTCAGGTGAGGATTAAAAAAAAAAAAAAAAAAGGGGGAAAAAAAA